GAGTGTATAGTCGCGCGACTTGAGTTGCATAGTCGATAGTCGAGCCGCGTTGCCATAGCATCCACCACGCGAAAAGCGTGGTCTATTTAATTTTTTTGACATAATATTATTTAACAAAGATTTATAATGAAATACCGAAAAGTCGTAAATAGCGGTTTCCTTTCATTCAATTCCGGTATTTTAAAGCTTTCGTTTCAGTCCGGTATCCCGGTATTTTCGAGATTCGGGATCCTGGTTTGCGACCCCTATATAACAGCAAATAGTAAAAATAAATTTGAAATTAAAGGATTTTCTACTATAAAAAAATTTAGTACTTAGGTGATTTTGGCTTTTTTCGATCGATAGTAATATGTATAGGTATTTAAATCTTGCCAAGATGTGTAAAGATGGTACGGAAGCTCGGAAGTCCGATTCGCACTTGGCAAAATATTTGTTTATATTTAACCTTACCTCAGACATACTCATATTTTTATATATAATTTACTATACTACTATATAAGCTACTAAATAGTAGTAGCTTTGCTATGGTATTATAGTATATTTTGGATTAGATTTAATTTATTACAGAATAATACTAACTATATAAAAACTAAGGAGCGCATCAAACTACCTCAGATATTGGGTTATGAATACAGATAAGTACACATAGGATTTAGTTTCTAAGTTGTACATATTTTATAGCCATCGTTATCAATAGCATAAACAGGCCAAGCCCCCTAGCCTACAAACTTTTCATAACGAATCTCTTTCTACAATCGAGCCTTTTATTTGTTTGGATACCACCTAACTCGTTCAGTGATGTTATTCCCATACAGTCTTTAGTTTTCAACTAGCGTTATCTATCATAAAATAAATCAAAATTTTATTTAAGTATATTTTGCTAATTGTGTCTGTACTTTGAATTTGATTTACAATCGATCTCTAAATTGTAGTTTTCTTCTAATTACTTACCTTGTGTAGGCGTGTTCTTTGGACTTCTGTAAGAAAGTCTGTGCTGTTAGTATTCCGTTTACTATTTTGATAGACGTTTGTGCTTGTCCCTGCAGTGACACAATGCCTATTTTTGATAACTTTCTAAGTACTAAGAGAATATTGCAAACCGCTATTGAACACAAACAATCAATAAACAATTTACAAACTAACATTTTTTATTTATTTAATTAACCTATATAAAAGCCCGAATCACATCAAAATCGCGCTGTCGAAAAAGCAGTTGTCCTGACACTGGCTGGCATATACTTCGGGGAGTTGCCTGTGGGCTATTATAGCTAACTAGCTATGGTAAGTAAATACCTATTTAGAATACATAGTACCTACAGTAATATTTGTATAACCTACAATAAAATACAAAAACATAAAGAAAACATAATTATGTTACACTTTTTTCTGTTTGTTTTAGAAATGGTTATATATTTATTCAAAAAAGTTTTTGTGTTACCATTTTTAGTTGAGAGTTTATTTCCCTTTAGTGGGTACAGACGTGATATTATATTGTGTGATTGCGTAAAGAATGCATAGATAGGCGATAGCAGCAATCGCGGTTAATTTGCTGTCATTTATTGAAGAGTGCCCCCGATTTCTCCAAGATCCCATCATCAGATCCTGACCTGACCATCATCGATTACCGTGGGATCATCTGGAAAATATATCCTTTTAAACAAAAAGATAATTTTCCAAATCGGTTTAGGCATCTTCGAGAAATCGGGGAACAGAACATACATGAACAAAAACCAACGAATTGAGAACCACTTCCTTTTTTCGAGGTCGGTTAAAAAGTAGGTAAAAACAAATCAATGAAATTATCATATAAAAACAACATCTACTTAATTTCACATAAGAAATTTCATAATAACAACTAAATAAATTGGGTTCATAATAATTAGTAATTACGTTTCACACAGCAGATCCTAAGTTATAATAACACCAATTTGTTTTCTCTCTTCTTTCTATTTTTAAAATACGTTTCCCCCACAGTAGGATTTTCTCCAGTATCGTGGAGGCAGTTTACAAACATAAATTGCACAAGGACAAACATCCAGACCCGGAACAACTATTTGTAGGCCATACAAATATTTGTTCCGTGCGGGATTCGAATCCGCGGCCCCCAGCGCAGCCACTGCGCCACGGCGCTCACAATTGCCGTGTTTATGTTATTATTGAAAAATGAATCGCATAGGTAGGTACGCGATGACGCCGTCGCTTTATGTCACTCAGGAGTGCGTACGTGTGTGCGCACTAGCTTCTTACTGCTCATCACAGCGTCTATCCCTTTCGCACGTGATGTCTGCTGAGATAGCATGCAGTTTTACCCTATTAGTTAGTTCGTGCCATCGACTAGGGCCACCTTAAGTTAATCTGTTACTAACAAGGATTTAGCTAGATGTACGAAATAAATTATTATTATTATTGTGGGGTATCTTATTGTTTTCTCATCTGGTTGGGTTCTATAAATATATAATTATAAATGAAAATGAAAAGATAAATATACATATATATCAATAACATAAAATAAATACAAAAATACATAAATAAATAAAAGCCCAACCAGATGGAAGCCCTCGGCAGGGGAGACCAAACGGCCGAGGGTTAGGGGGGAAAGGGAAAGAAACCGGCGGACGATGCGGGCGGTATCGAGGAGCACCGCCTTCTGCATTTGAGCCCGGAGCGGTCCGCCACGTAGTCCCAGTCTTATTATTTTATTGATTGCTCGAGATAAACCCTGTATTCTCCAAGCCCCCGCCCATGAAGTTTAGGGAGAGGTAGGCTCAGACTCCTGACTAACAAATATAGAATTACCTAAAACTTTTACCAATATCGTTACCGAATGAATTGCTGCTTGTTTCTGTATAAAATGTATGTTAATATGAGAGTCTAACTTATTGCAGTATTCATGTAGGCTTTTAGCGATCATTCATATGGCACCAACTACTACAGGTATAATATCAGTAGGTGTTTTCCAAAGCTGGGTTATTTCAGTTCTTAGTGCATGATATTTACTGAGTTTCTCTATTTCCTTCGCTCCTATATTGTAATCAGATGGTACGGTAATATCGATAAGGTAAGTTTTATTTTTAATTTTATTTATATAAATTATATCAGGCTGGTTGTGCTTTATTGTAATATCTGCTTGAACCGGCATTTCCCACATTAGTTTGGTTGTATTATTTTCCCTAACTAGTGGTTGCAACAGTTGTTCTTTCCACTACATTTTGCCTACGCTAAATCCGTGCTTGCTTGCTAAGGTCCAGAACACGTACTGTACAATATTATTGTGCTTCTTAGTTTAATAAGTGCCAGCCATTTTCTCAGATCCGGATATGATATATTGTCCTGCTTCATCTTTCGTTAGTCATAGTCGACACTTGCCATCCACAGGTTTCTGAAGTATGTCTCTCTTATATTGTCTTGTTACTACTGCTTGATACTGAACAGCAAAAATAAATGACTCTAATCCTGGAGTTATTTGCTGTGTTTTAAGCCATCTGAATGAAAACTTTAAGTCTACATTTCCTCTTTATATCACATCCTTATTTTCCTATATCCTTGTTTATTCTTATATCCTTGTTTTCCAATTACTTATCTTTTTTATAATAACTGCTTTCTTTATTTCCTTTTCTGTATAATTTTCATCGTCCCCAAGTCCTATTTCTCTTATGTATATCAGTGCTTCTTTAAATATTGTTTATTTATCTCTATTCTTACGAGTATCGTGTTTTAATATTGCTCTTAAAATGTAATCATAACTTGATTCTAGATACTTTCTATATTTTATTATCTGAGTTTTATAAAGCACTTCTATATTATTCAGCCCCCGCCCCCCTTCTACAATCGGTAAATAAATTCATTCAATATCTACTTTCGGTTGGTGCACCGCGTTCATTACTAAAATTTTCCTCGTTTTAACATCAATTTTTCTTAAATCAGTATTTTTGTAGTTTATAACACCGAATGAAGTAGATTCCTAGCATTAAGATGAGATTTAGTAATACATTTTACTCTACGGAAGTATTCATTTCGTAATTGTTGTTTAGCTTCGTTATGGTCTATTTTAGCCGCTTCATTCATACCTAAATATTTATATTGTTCTCCCACTTTCAAGTATTCAAATTCATTGCCGTTTAATAATATATGACCCAACCCTTGATGCTATCTTCTTTTACCTGCTACCATATGCAAAATGTTACATTTATTTAAGCCGAAAGTCATTCCTATGTCTCTTGTAAAACTATACTGTCTATTAACCCTCTAGGATTGTTTTTATTACTAGCATATGTTTTTAAATCATCCATATGTAATAAATGGTTAATCGTAGTATTGTCTTTTAATTTGTATCCGTTAGATTCATATTTTTAAAATTTGAGAAACGGGATTAATACCTAGGCAAAATAAAAACGTGACGGTGAATCTTCTTGGAATATTCCACGCTGAGTATATATGGGATCTGTAGTAACAGAGCCATTTGCACCAGAGACTGTCATGATAACATTCCATTTGCGCATGAGCATCTGGAGTAACCTTATTTATATTATTATTATTATTTTAAGTTTCATTAACGCTCCTTTTAGGGTTTTAAGATACGGCATCGGCTGATCGCAGGATCCCGCTCTTTTTTTAAAAAAAGGGGGGTGACGTACTATCGCACGTCACCCCCTATACTACTACTATTATTCACTGAGATACCTAGCTTAGCTAAATTGTCAGTAAGGGATTTAGAAACAACTCCCGTGGTAGAGAGAACCAGCGGGACAATAAGTACCTGCTGCTGCCACCTTAACTGTCGGATTTCTTCAGCCAACCGCTGGTACTTAATCAATTTTTCAGTACTGTACTTCTGCACATTATGCGAGTTTGGAATGCCAATATCCAACAACCACGTTCGCCCTTTCTCCTTTTCAACTAATATTATGTCCAGTCGATTATGCTCAACTGTCCGGTCAGTTAAAACTGTCGCGATAAAGTTGAGCCGGATCATTCTCGAGTACCGGGGATGGATTGTGTTTCTAGTAGGGTTCTGTCTCCTTAACTTTTACTGCCAGCTCTTGGTGTACGATTTTTGCCACGTTGTCATGGCGCTGGATGTACTCGGTTCCAGCAAGGTCTCTGGCTTTTGATGACACCATCGGCATCTTCGATGCCTGTCTTGACAATGTACTTAAGATAATTTTATTATTATTATCTGGGGTATCTATACAGTTTTCTCATCTGGTTGGGTTCTATAAATATATAATTATAAATGAAAATGAAAAGATAAATATAATATATATATGTAAAATAAATACAAAAATACATAAATAAATAAAAGCCCAACCAGATGGAAACCCTCGGCAGGGGAGACCAAATGGCCGAGGGTTAGGGGGAAAGGGAAAGAAACCGGCGGACAATGCGGGCGGTACCTAAGAGCACCGCTTTCTGCATTTGAGCACGGAGTCCCAGTCGCCTCAGATGGCTCGAGAGGCTGACCGGGATTAGCTCATTCGCAGAGACCACTACAGGAATAATTTCGGTCGGCAGGCCACCCCACATTTCAGTTACCTCGTGAGCCAGGTCCAGATATTTTGTTTGCTTATCTGTTTTGGTTTTCACGAGGTTCTCGTCATACGGAATGGTAATTCAGACCAAAAACATCCCTGACTGTGCCCTGTCCATCAGCATAATATCAGGCTTATTCGCAAGAATAGTCCTGTCTGTGATGATAGCCCGGTCCCAATAGAGCCTAGCGCAGTCATTTTCGAGCACGGCTTCCGGCAAGTACTTGTAATACGGCAATTTTCGATCCACGAGATCGTATTTCATAGCGAGCTCCTGGTGTACAATTCTGGGTTTAGAAGAGTTAGAATGCGAAATCGGAAAGGGTCCGTAAACTGATTAGATAGATATTCCAATAGAATTGCTAAATTCACAAGTGACTTTTAGTAATTCCACAAGATGGGAGCAACTGGAGGCGAAAAACTTGAGGTCATCCATATAAAAAAGGTGAGCAACTTTTGTACCTCCTTTCCGAAGCTGAAAACCCCTCCCAGGGCCCCCAGTAAAGTACTGAGAGGGTTCAAAGAGAAGGCAGAACCAGATTGGACTCAGACAATCACCCTGGAAGATACCCCTTCTTATCCTTATGTGGCTTTCCGCAGCCATCATCCGCTCGCCCAGATTACAAAGGATCGTACTCCACTGCCCATACACTGCTCGAGGAAGTCTCGAACTGTACAGTCAATCTTGTACAGCTCGGGGACCTCTTTGGCCATGTATGGGGCACCGAGTCGAATGCCTTTCTGTAGTCTATCCAGGCAGCGGAGAAGTTTCGACGGTTGCGTTTCACCAATTTGCCAATGACCGCGTCAATAAGAAGTGGTTCCTTGGTTCCACGACCACCGTCCCGACATCCATTTTGAGTGCGCAACATCACCTGATTTGAGTCCAGATGACGAGTGATTCTCGCGCTCAAAATAGATGTTAGTGTCTTGTATATGGTCGGCTGACACGTGATGGGGCGGTATTTACTCGGGTCTGTGGTATCCTGGTCTTTAGGAACCAAATGAGTGATCCCAGTAGTGAAGAGGCTCAGGAGCGACTTCTGGTTGAGAGCCTCTTGTAACTGTCGAGGAGGCACAGTGTGACATACCACAAACCCCTTCAGCCAGTAGTGATGCAGCCCGTTGAGTCTCAGACTTTACCAGTTTGGGGCCTTACGGACCGCCTCAGCTAGTTATCCGGCGTTATCATGACGGGGTCCATGGGCATTATACTCTCACCACAACTTCCGTCCAAGGGCCCTCGCTGTGGTTTACGGGCTCTGACCACAGGCCGCGCCTGAATGTTACAGTGCCGGCCTGATTCGGTGCTGGGCCCGTTCCACTTACTATTGGTCGCTCCAATGAATTCATAGAGCCTCTTCTGATCACTCTGGAAGAGACGATTCTGGTTGAACCGAGTCGACCTCTCGGTATATCGCCGAATCCGCTTTCCTCAAAATTAATAGAACTTTTTTTAATATTGAGCAATTGGCTGTTGTGTTTTTTTCTGTGGGTATTTGTTTGTCTGGCAATAACCTTTTTTTACGAGTGTCCATGAGCGAAATTTCGGAGAGCCTATGTTCAGAGCTACTACGATTCATCCATAGATTACTGAACTCATCGGTCGTAATTATAACAAATTAAAATTTTTCATCATTATAATTCAGGAACGCTTCATGTGCCCTACAAAAAAGCCGTATTGGTTTATTAAATTGAAGGTGAACATATTAATAAATGACCATAATATCACAGTTTATAGAGGATGTATCAAGGGATATAGATATATACCTATCCTTCAAAGATTTTACATTTTACAATACAAAATAGGTATACTCATGAATAAAGTTGTTCAAAACGACTATAATATAAATCAATAGCACGCTACAGACTATAAACTAGAAATTTCTAGCGCGCTATTAAATACGCTATGTTATAGCACGCTATTTGTGAAAAAGTGTTTAGCAGGCCTTCAAACGCGTTAAGTTTAGCAGCATGCTATATCTCGGAGCACGATACATTACATGTCGTTGATTGGATAGACCGCGTGCAATATAAGAACATTGTTTCGTAATAAGTCGCATTTTAGATTAAAGTAAAATAAAGTGGTAAAGAAAAATTAAAGAACGCTCTTTCATACTTTTCAGGCTTACGACTTTTTATAATCCTAAAAATATTTTTAAGGAAAATAAATTAAATATTTTTTTATTATAATTGATGTAAACGTTATTTTAACCTTAATATAAATTATAAATCAAAGGTGTATTTAAAAGTTTATTGATTGTATATACAAAAATCGACTATTTACAAACACTATTATATACACTTTTGTATCCATATTTTATTTACATTTAAAAACATTAGTTAGGCTTCTTTTCTAGCAGACAACTGTATCCTTCGATCACTTATAAATATACAGTATACACTAACTGAATAACGTCTAATACTAAATTAGTTCGCGCGCAATGAATGGCGTGCTGCTAGATTAAATTTGTGTCACACGTCTACTCCCAACAGCGCTGCTGCTAGAACTAATTTCCGCTTGATATGAATAGCGCCAAAGCGACATAGCGTCATAGCGCCATGGCGACTATTTACATAGCACGCGCTATGCGTTATGAAGAGACAGCGCGCTACAATATGGCGCTATGCGTTATATTAACCACCATTACTCATGATGTCTGCATGGAAACTCACTCAAAAAGTCTAAGAAAATTGCTATTTTCTTATAACCCAAATTTAGTTCATCTAATAAATTGATGAAATTTTTATGATCACTACAAAACTAAACTACGTTTTTTTTAGTAGGCAATACTTTGTCAATCTAATTTGATATGAAGTTTGTCGGACAATGAACAGTGCGTTGTGAGCGAGCGACATTTTGATATTTTATTCGTGTATTGCCATGCCAGTCACTGAGGTCGACACTATTTATTTTAAATTATAAAATCATAATTTGCGAGTGCTGTCGTTAACATGTCTGTTTACGGTTTCGAACGTTTCTAAATGTAAATCGACACAAATAAGCATCGAATTGTGAATTTGTGTGTAGTTTTCAGTAAGTGCTATGTTTCATTGTGCAGACGCGTATAGATGTTCTGAAAGTTGGGTGTACAGTTAGTCGCATATTACGGGTATTTGCATTTTTGAGAGTTGGATGACGTTTTTCAGAGCGAAATGGCGATGTCGGAGCAATTTTCTTTGCGTTGGAACGATTTCCATGCAAATCTGTCCCAGTCCTTTCAAGCTTTGTTGGAAGGTGAAGACCTGGTAGATGTGACGTTGGCGGCGGGAGGACAGTACGTCCATGCGCACAAGCTCATCTTGTCCGTTTGCAGTCCCTACTTCAAAGAGCTATTTAAGGTGTGACTCATTATTCAGTTATTGTTATTATAAGCTTTACCTATTGTATTTTTCTTATTTCCAACAAAGACTTTGTTCAAAATTTATTTCGCATTGGTCTTGTATTGTTTGTTTGTGTATCCAATATTGTATTAATAAAAGGAAATGATCTTTGTATACTCTAACTTCATAAGTAAATAACTCGTATGGGATATACATCAATTCAGAGTTTCCTAATAATTGATATTTTCCCTGTTTTCATAATTAAATATAAAGATGTATGGTTATATTATTTTTTTTTTTTTTTTTTTTTTTTTTAATATACATCTATATATATATATATATATATAAATACATAGACATATTTATGAGTTAATGATAAGGTCTAATATGAAATTCCTCATGTCATGTAATTATATTAGCTCCCTTACTTTTCAAACTGGAATACAGGAGTAGGTGCTGAGACTTTCAATCTCGTAAAATAAAGTTTGTGTGAATTCAATATTAGTACCAGGGCAACCGAGTTTAGTCTGAGTCTGAAATTATTTGAATTACCTATTTGTTTATAAAAGAATTTTTTAAGTAATAAATTTTTCTAGATAAATTTAGGATGAAAACATGATCTTAATATAAAATTTCATCTAAATTGCTAGAGCCAATTTACAAGAATTGTATTAAGTTGTATAGTTATAGGATCGGTTTAACACTTTAATAATAATATTTCTTATATTATTCTTGAACTGTGAGCTTGTAACCCTATTGTTAATTATGATAACATACCTAAGAATTAAGATCCTGATATCAATCCATTTTAAGAAATATATTTGTAAATAGATGTTTCTTAAAAAATACTAGAAGATAAATAGTGATGAGCTAGTATATATAGACATGTTATTTTTTTCAGCAAAGTATAATCTCACTCAATAATCATTCATTACAGTCTATTAAAGTCCACAGCTGGGGTTGAATTTTCCATAATCCTTAGTAGGTGTCTATGTCAACAAAGGAGAATATAATATGCCAAATTTAAAGTCAATCGGGCATGTAGCTTCAGAGATCCCATATATATATGTAGTCACATATATCTCGCCTCTGTGGGAATAACATATTATACGAGGGTGGCACTGAAAATTTCGGGAATCAAGGAAGTGACACAACACTAGTATTTAAAAATGTATTTATTGCTTTTCGAAGTATTCTTCGCAAAATTTGACACATTTTTCCATACTATGGAACCAATCATTGAAGCAACCATTCCATTCGGAAGTTGGGGTCTCCAAATTGGCCGTTTTGTAGGTGTCCACAGCTTCTTCAGGTGATGAAAATCTCTGTCCATGCAATTTATTCTTTATTTTAGGGAAAGTATAGAAATCATTAGGGCTTAGGTCGGGGCTGTATGACAGATAGTCTAATAATTCTATGTTTTCTTGCTCTAAAAACTTTTGTTCTGTGTGCGGTGTGAGAACTTCATTGTCGTGACGGAGGATGATGCGGTGGTTGCAGTTCTCTTTATGGAGTTCAGAAACGACCTGTGGCAAACAAATGCTAGCATATCATTCTGCATTAACCGTTCTTTGTCCCTCAAGACGAATAATCGTAACATGGCCGGTTTTGGAGACAAAGGTGGCCACCATTTTTTTGCAACACTCCGTGAACAAACAATTTTTGTTGGCCTAACTCATTTTCGAACACCCAAACTCGTGACTGGTTTTTTGTTTCGGGTTCGTACGCATATATCCAGGATTTGTCACCTGATACGATGTTGTATACAGCATTTGAGGATCCTGGGTGGAATCTTTCGAGAGTTCTGACGCACCAAGTAACGTGAGCCGCTTTTTGCTCTTCACATAGCGAATGTGGTATCCATCGCGAAAACAACTTTTTTACACCAAATTGTTCATGCAAGATTATTTGTATTTGACTCATGCCAATGTCTAAAGTTGCCTGAATTTCGCGGTATGTCACATGTCGGATCTTCCTCAATCAGCTTACGCACAGCATCAACGTTTTCTTGGGTGACTGCAGTTTTTGAACCACCTTGACGGGGATCATCACTGAGCTTGACACGTCCATGTTGAAATTCAGCAAACAAATGGTATTTGATTCTTAAACCAAGAAGTTTTCAATTAAAAAGATTTTAATATGACAGGAACAGTCGAAATATTCCATTCTCAATACTTTTAGTGCAGCCTAGTATCAAAAACTACAATTTTATAGAAAGTGACTTTTAAGCTTTAACCCTTAATTCACTCACTGAGTCCATTAGACTCACATCGAAATTTTAAACTGTTATAAATTTTAGCTCTAGCGACTGGTTTCCTCCCCCGCCTTAGTACCATCCTATAGTGTCGCCGGTACCGCGGTAGCGAGAGGACGTGCACCTGTGACGCGTAGTTGGTGAGTTATCAAGTCGAGTGAGTCCCATGGACTCATACTAGTGAATTATGTTAAGCAGATTGCCCACTTGTTCGCCAGCTCAAGAAAATTTATCTGACAAGAGTGATGACGACCAATCGATACCCGCGCAAAATCAAAACTACTACTACGGGAAAAATCGGTACAAGTGATCACGATTACCTCCAGCCCGAAATGTACGTACTGCAGCACATAATGTGGTTCAAATTCCTAGAGTAAGGCCTACAGCTGAAGGACCTCTTTCTCCAATTGATGCGTTCCAGCTAATATTTGATCAAAGAATGCTAAACATCGTTTTGATTCATACAAATAAAAAACTTGCGGAATTTCAAACGAAATACCCAAAATATTTTGCCTTTAGACAGACTGGCCTTATCGAATTGAAAGGGTTTCTGTTTTTGTTTATTTATTCCGCTATTTTCAAATCTATCATTATTCGCAACTGACGGCACTGGGCGTGAAATATTCAGAGCATCTATGTCCAAAAACAGATTTTTGGCATTGCTAAACAGTCAAAACAATCATTCGATGGGCAATAACGCGACCGTCGATGAAATGCTCATAGAATTTAGAGGACGATCAAGATTCAAAATGTACATGCCCAATAAGCCGGGGAA